ACACCAAAACAAAAAAAACAAATTTTATTTAAGCTTAATAAGAAAATTACAATGCTTGGGCCCTGAAGTAGCTAGGGCTATTTGAGGCGGGCACAAGAGAGGAAAATAAGAAAAGAAAAGAATTCTATAGAAAATGATTTATATGTATAATTATAATATATAGACGAACAATCCTAAAAGAAATCTAGTTTGCCGTGTGGCTTAAAGACAGAATGAAACAGGAGGGTAGACTGTAGTATATACTGGAAGTACACACAGTTATAATTTTGAGAATTGTACTCTTAAATTGATTTTTTTTTAAGTGTTTTGATAGGAAGTGGAATACTGTTCCAAATCAAGGTGCCAGAAATAGAGAAGGCTCTCTTCATATTTTCAGGCTAGTTCTAACTTGTTCAACATAATAATTTTCATTGGTAACAGATCTAGTCTGGTAACTGTGGACAGAAGCCAGCTGCGTGAACATATTCTTAATGTTATCAGGAACGAGATTATAGTGGACATCGTATATTAAAAGGCTCATTTGCTCAAAGCACAAGAATGATATCGGCAACTGTTTAGTTTGTAAGAATAACGGAACTGCATGAGCTCTTGGATCAGCGAAGAACATTAGCCTAAGGGCTCTCTTCTGAAGAACTAGTAATTTATGAAGATGCGCTTCAGCAGTGTTACCCCAAGCACAAATGCCATAGCTGATATAGGGTAAGATTAAAGAGCGGTATAAAGTGAGAAGTACATAACGGGGAACAAAATGTCTGAGCTTGGCGATAATTCCAATTGTTTTACTGATTTTCTCTCTGGAACATCATCTGAAACGAAGATCTATTAACGGCGAACCGGCGTTGCACACCGAAGAAGATAAGGGGTTTATACGAAGTAGATCGAGCAAAGCATCCAAAAGACCTGGTCTGTCAAGAGTCAGTAAGTCTTCTGAGGTATCTTCCATCATCGATTTGAAGAAGGCTGACGCCGCCGCAGAATTAGCCGCTAAAGAAGCTGAATTTAACGCTATGCAAGAACAAGCAAAATTCAAAGAAGATATTGCTAAAATGGAAGCAGAATTAGCACGAAGAAAACAAGAATTGGAACAGATAGAAGTGAAGAAGCAAATGGAAATAGCGAGAGCCAAACTGAAAGTGTACCAAGAAGTAAAAGAATTCGATGACGACCGCGACGAGGAGTCCGTTGAAGATGGTCCACGCCATATTCCTTCGATTCAAACAGAACCTAAGATAACTCTATAATTTGGATATATCAACAAAGTTGAAGAGGTAAATTGGCCACCGTAACGATTACAAAAGCTGACGTTTCAAGCGTTAGCCCTTCGTCGGAGCGAAAGACGAAGGGCTAACGCTCGAAACGTTAGCTTTTGTAATCGTTACGGTGGCCAATTTACCACTTCAACTTTGTTGATATATCCTAAGATAACTCTAGCTTCGTCCCTTCCTTCTCAAGAACATCAACAATCAACAACAGAAAAAAACACCCATCTCTCGTACGGTCAAGTTCGACCACAAGAATCCCCGTCAAACGCAAATACAACCGCCGCGATTGTCCGCCGCGATTGTCCGCCGCGATCACTGATTCCTTCAGCATTAGTCGCCTCCCAACACCTGAACCGACCATCTTTAGCGGTGAACCCATTCAGTATCAGCATTGGAAGTCCTCCTTTCATGCTCTTATACACCGTAAGAACTTATCTGCAACAACAACAACAACAACAACAATCTTTATTCGTACTCACTCTTGCTCAGAAAAAGTTACAACAAAGAGAATATTAAAAAGTTTAAGTTAGAGTACTGGCTGCCTGGAATAACCATAGGGGCTAGCGAAGCCAGACAGCCAGCAAGCGACAAGCAGCTGCAAGCAGCTGCAAGCGACAAGATGTATTATTTGAAACGGTACGTAAGCGGATCTGCTCAAGAAGCTACCAGTGGACTTTTCTTGCGAAATTCGATAGAAGCGTACGAACGTGTATGGAGTATCTTAGACGACTAAGAGGTTTGGTCACGCGTTCGTTGTGACAAAGATGGCCTAAGATCAGCCCGAAGGATCATCACGGACTCAGGAAATTCGCTGACCTCTTTTCAAGTGTTGGAACTGCAATGGAAGTAATTGAAGGCCTAAACATCTTGAACGATTACACGGAAAGCCAGAAGCCCCTCGCTAAGTTACTGGACTGGCTAGGCTCCCGATGGAACAGAGAAGCCACAAAAGAAATTAAAGAAAGAAAGAAGTAGCCATCAACTTCGTAATTTGCTAAACGAACACCGTGAGAACTGAAATAAAAGTACAAACAAATTACAAATGAGATCGTGTAAATAATCAGATACAAATACATTTGATGCGACTCAAAAGTTACAAGACAAAGGTAAAATAACAATTTACAATTAACGGTACAACGATGTCATAAGCAACTTTCGCTTAAACTAAATTTTAAGTATTAACTTACTTCACAAAAGGAGAAATGACAATAAAAGAAAGAAAGATACAAATTTCTTAATTAAATAAACTAAAAAGGTGTAAAAATTTTTACCTTGGTGCCGCTATCACTAGAACAATTAAAAAAGGTTTGAGCACGGCGGCTAAAACTCCGCTTTCAGTTGAAAGATCTTACGTCAACTGATGCCAAAAAGAATAAATGCAGTCAAGCTGGGTTAAGATCAGTAAATTGGTCCTAAAACAAATGATGAAAAAATTGTATCATTTTTATGCTTACTATGCCTTCCTTCTATAGCTAGGAAGGTCGTAGGAACTATCTTATGGTATCGTGTCAGCCAGTAAACCTTCACCCAAGCCCCTCGCGGTTTTCCAAAACTGGTGGCGGTCTATAGTGAGTCACTCGTATTACCTCGTGTGACTCGTCCTGGTTCAGCATCGACACTGGGTATCATTGAAGGAATCTGATCGACATTATTTTAGTCAAACGTTCGCAAATGTGCGTTTTCTCTGAACATAGTAGGTAGTAGAGTAGGTATATCAATAACGCCGGGTACGCAAAGCGTTCAAAATCGCGAAGTTTTGAATTGAAATAAATTTGATGCACATCTAACACATGTACCTATTTCCTGCCCTGTCCCCGACCTGTCAAATGACCAGAGTACAAACTCTGCTCTAGCCAAGTCTTCCTTCTGTCACGAGTTTAGCTTCGTCAAGAGCTGTATTCAACTCAACATTGCTTTTTTTATTGCAATACTCTAATGACAACAATACAACAGTAGCCGGGAACATACAGTCACAGACTCTCTTTTATTATGAATTACGTTACATGCGCTTTCGCGTTCTTTAGAAGAACGGAGTCTTCACTCTGGTATACGGAGGAAAAGAGCGAGTGTTAGAGTCAGTTTCGTAGAGGAAAAACTATCAGAAAAAAAAGCATTAGCTGACCAAATCGGAATTATGATCAAATATCGAATAGTATCTTTATATCCTTTATTCTAGCCATCTGGCAAGAACTTGTCGCTATTCCCAAAGAGTGTCACATAACTGCGTACAAGAACTGCTCCGATCACCATCCTAGCTTGGGATACGGACTCGTCTTTGATTAGTAAGTGAACTGATTCCATTTTTTTATTATATTTTCTCTGCTGAATGAGCAGCTGCACTGTTGAAGCTTATAAGATTGCTAACTAAAGTACGCTCAGGTATAGTGCCGTCTGTTAGTTCAAATCTATGCGACTTAAATTTATAACTCAACAAAAGAGAAGCATCTGGCTATTAGTGCATAATTCCGCCTTTTCTTCAAATAAGAGCATAATATGTGCGTTCTATATTAGTCATAGTTATGTAGATAGTACTATACAGTTAGAATTCTACACAAACAGCAATCTAATAGGCAAAGTTTTGATCGTAAGCGCCTGAGAACGTGGTTATCAAGTGGGCTTCAAAATGCAGTAGCGCCTCCTCAAATAATCCAGCGAAAACAAGATACGAAGTTGTCAGCAGACGAAGAAGAATATGCCTTTACTTACTTTCCTTCACTTCACTGATTCTCCTAAGTAGATTAGCTTTTTCTTTGGTGTCTTTTGGCAGCGCCTTCGTAATCTCTATCGTAGCCGTTGTTTCAGGCTAGATTTCGCCGTTTTCTCGAGTACGGATCGTTTCCCGAACAGCGGTTGGTAATCGAACAAGCCCTTGTTTTGGGTACCATCTGAGGACGCTGAAAACGGCTGCGATGAAGACTGCTATCGACGCCCTTGATCTAGTTCTCAAAGAGGTGAAATAAGACTTCTTCAAAAGTTAATGCTGTTAGTTACTAAATTCAATCACAAAGTGACCTTCAGCAAAACCGTAGCAGTTCCAGATAATGCTCTGTAATTTTAAATACATTTGCCATTATTACCCTTTTCGATCATCAATTTCTAGCTGCCCTGATGATCTTCAAGTTGACTTCCTCCGATCACCCATGGGAAGCCGGGCTGTGCGATTCAAGTTTCCTATAAGGCAGTTCTTCGGGATAGCCGAACAATTCCTTTACCTCCATTGTAAAATGACCACATGCAAGAGGAAGGACCCACCCATGCTAACTATGTTCAACTGCCGGACACAGTCTCAATTCTGCCCTCTCCAAAAAGACTTCGACGTCACAGTTGGTCCCTTCATGGTTTGGCCAGTAGGAATTAAACGAGATTGGAAGATCAAAGAAAACAGTAAATACAATAAATGAAGTAAAAATGCACCATCCCAAAGCTTATCCCGCGGGTCCTTGAAAACAAGTCTCCGAACGGGTACACAGTAGTGTCTGAATTTAAACACAAGTATCTGATTTTAGACACTAGTGTCAGATTTTAAACACTAGTTTCCTAATTTAGACACTAGTGTCCGAAGTTACACGCTAGTGTCCAATGTTAGGCACTAGAGTCCGTCTATAGACACTAGTTTCTGATTTTAGTCAACTTGCCTGACTTTAGACACTATTGTCTGATTATAGAAACTAGTGCCTGATTTTAGACACCAGTTTCCGATTTTAGATGTTAGAGTCTGATTTTAGACACTAATGTCCAATTTTAGACGTTAGTTTTCGAAGTTAGATTGTAGTGTCTGATTCTAGACACTAGTGTCAGATCGAGACACATATGATTGTCTGATTTTAGCTATTTCTTTTTTTAACGGAATTGTTAGCAGACGAAGAAGAAAATGTTTCTATTTATTTTCCTCCATTTCTCTGAGTCTCCAACGAAGACAAGTTGATTAGTTTTTTCTTTAGTGTCTACCGGCGGCGACTTCATAATCTTTTTCGTAGCCGTTGATAAGATTTTAATGATTCCTGTCAAAGTTAAAAGCTTTGGCTGCATCTTCACTGATATACATGACTTTAACTCTTTCTAAAGCTGCCAAACCTACAGAATATAAACAAGGAGATTCATCACAATTCTCTAGCGGAAACACAGATACAAAGACAGATGAAGGTACGTGTGGGAAGATATGGCTAATTATGTTTTGTCGAAACCCTGAGGATTTCTTTATACGCTATTGGGTCCGGATCAGATGAACCTTATCCTTTTACACCCTAATATCAGTATGCATATTCTCCATAATGTGTTATCTACATTTCCTAAGGTGCTGAAAGAGAGAATTTTTTAACAATCAAGAGCTTCTTCCTTAGTGATCATTTCCTTTATTCTTGTGACCTTAATGTGTGATTCAAGGGTGATATTGTTAGGAAAATTGGAAATTGGAAATTGAGGGTTTAGACAATTAATGGTACCCTAGACTGGCTTAAAAATATAGCAGCAAACCAGCAAAAATGGTAAAGTACATACACAGGATCGAAGAAACCTAGACCGCTGGAACAGATCTGTTTCCTATGTATTCAGCAACTACGAGTATAAAAAGTTGTCTCTTTCTCATCTCAAGTCACCCACAATTCCTTCTCCTTTTTTCCCCGCGGTACCCATTTATACCCTCAGGTGGAGAGAATTGAAAAGTTAAAAAAAAGTAGATTTCTCAAGGTCCACAATACGACGCATTTTCTCACTCAGCGCTTCAACTTCGCCCTATAGATCGGCTTTAAACATTAAGCTATTATGATTCTTGAAAGCGCTTTTCGATCGACTGTCGTAAAACCAAAACCAAAGGATATACAACCACCTAATCAGACGAAAGGAAAATATCCTGGAGGGCCAATGAGAGCTCAAAGAAAAAACAAGCAAACCGCCTAATTATAAAGAGCGGGAAAACAAGGGCGACCAACTTGATTGGTGCTAGTTTTGCATCTGATTGGTTAAGAGAGTGGTGCGAGTTTTCTTGACCAATCACAGAGCAAAGTAAAGCAAAAACATTACAATCCCGGATTACATTCGACACTCAATTGAAAATTGCTTCATGTGGCATGGAATGGAGTTTCCTGAAGCTAAGCCGCTTTTCTTTTTTCTCTCCACTAGTGTGTCTGACCTACGCAGAAGTTATTATGTCAGTTGTCGGTCCAGTTGTCGCTCTTGGTTTGATGATCGTACTCCGTGCAATCCTCAGGAAGGCTTACGTAAAAAGAAAGCGGCAAATAGAATTGGCGCTGGAAACAGATAAGGAACAAGCGTGAACCAGTCAGTGCCCAGCACTGGACTCTTGTCTTTTCCTTCTCACTCCCAAAAGCTAAATGCCAATTTTCAGCACTGTCTGTGTAATACGTCTCCTGTGATATCAGTTTAATCAAACAATATCTCCTAATTGATATTTGTCTTTATTCCCATCACTTTTCTCCTTGAAAATGTACTGATATTGTAAGGAGAAATTCTCTTTTGGTCCCTTGTAGGAGTGAAAGATTTACTGAAACCGCGGCCACCCGACAGAAGACCATTTGATGGGCTCTTTTTCAATAGCACGTGATGATTCGAACCTTGCGCGCACTTTAATTTTATAATCGTAACACTCGTTTCAGCGGCTTTTGTCTTAATTTATTTTTCTAAATCAGCCAACGAATCAACGGAAACTGAACTTGGGTAGCATATACAATTTTCCAATTAGTGCTATCACAATCAACGACCATGCGAAAGTGAGAAAGGACCGGCAGTTTAAAATTGAAAATCATCGGGTTATCAAGCATCACAGCTCAACGAACGCGTTAAGAGTTCAACCTCTTGTATCCGATATTTAGTTGGCTGGATTTTAAAAAGTTTTGAATCTACACTTTTAGTTTTACCCCAAAATTTGTTTCCATTGTCCGGGTGACTTCGATTTCAGTAGATGCGTCGCAAGATGATTTTGTATTACGTTACAGAAATCTTTCAATGTCATCTCTCTTGTCAGGTTTGTTGATTAATTAAGCATCAAAAAATATATTTTGCTTTGCATTTTCTTTTTTTACTTAAAAACGTAGTCACCTACGA